TGGCTTTGCAGGGTGCGTGTGGCCCCAGGACCCTCTGGTTCTGCCTCCCCTGCACCCCCAGACCTCATCCCCCTGTTTTCTTCAGCTGCTTCAGGCTTGTTGGCATCTTATTTTGCGTCCAGGAGGGTTTTTGAGCAGCCCGAGCTCGGCTCGATATCTGGCTCAGTTTTTTGGGATGGGAGCTGGGATGCGCGGAGGGAACCTTGCCCCGTGCCTGATGCACCAGGGCTGGGCAGAAAGGGGGGTTTGGGGGAGGGGTTCACCCCCTATTCCTATTTTTATTTAGAGCCAGGGTAGCTTTGCGAACCTGGCTCTAAATGAAAATAACCCGTCCTGCTGCTCGCGCAGCCTCTCGCAGGACATCGCCTCCTCTCCCTGTTTGGGTTTTTTTTTTTGGGGGGGTGATTCACAGCTCCCTGGTGGGTAACTCCCCAACTTTTCCTCCCAACATCCCCCTCCTTGACACATTTTTTTGGGAGAGCGCTTCCAGCCACCCGCTCCGTGACTAAATAAAGAGAGTTTGGGGAGGAGAAGAAGGGGTTTGGGGCCAACACCTTCCCCAAACCATCCCGGGGACCTCAGTTTCCCCCCCTCCCCCCCATCGATTTCCTCACCCCAGGATCTCGCCCTGGTTCACGCTCCCCGTGGGCATGCCTGCGTGTCCCCGGGGGTCGGTGCCCCCTTTCCCAGCTGCGGTGGGGGTAGCTGGAGGTGCAGCTGGCTTTGGGGCCCTGCGGGGTTTTGGGGGAGCGCTGCCCTGTGGGGTCTCACCCCGGGGTCCAGCATGATGCTCTGTGATGCCCGTGGGGCGGCTGCGATCGCCTCCTGCCCTGCGACACCTTTCCCCACCGCCTCGGCAGAGCGAAGGCAGCAGTTTGGGGCTGAGGACGCCTGATTTTTCCCCCTTGCCTTGGTGCCCAGCACCGCTTGGCCCCTCCATCCCCCTCCTCTTTGATTTATATTTCTTTTTATCGTGGCGCAGCAAGCTGGGGGAGATGTAACCTGGGTCTAACCATGTTGCTGCCTCGGGAGCAGATTATTTTGGTGATTGTGGTGTTACCCCTTCCCCTTCATCCCCGATCCTCCGAGGGCAGCTTTGGGCAGGGGAGCAGGGATGTGACCCCCAAACTCCTTGCACCGCTGGGATTTTTTTGTTTGTTTGTTTGTTTGCTCCCCACTGTGCTGGGATTTTTTTTGTTTGTTTGTTTGTTTGTTTGCTCCCCACTGATTTATTTTTTTCCGGCACCTCCTGGAAAACCCCCAAGCAGGGGGGGATAGCTGGGAGCAGGGCACGGGGCGTTACTGCTACCCGTTAATGGTGGTCCTCCGTGGGGGACCCCATCCCACGACAGCTCCCTGGGGGGATTTGGGGGCAGAGTCACACCCTTCTGCCCCGTCGCAGCGTTGGGGTGCAGTCGGGGACCCCCCAGTGATCATGCTCACCCTGACTTGCTCCGGGCTGCTCAGGCTCCCGGCATTGCCTGGGGGTGGCTGTCCTGGATCCGGCCGTGCTCTCGTTTGGCGAATAAATAATAAAACCTAAAGCGGTTTATGCCCAAATGGGGCTGGTTTATGACTTGTCTCCTTGTTGGGGCCGGGAGGGCTGAGCCCCCCCTGCACCGTGGGCTGCGGGGGGGGGGGGGGGGGGGTCGCGGGGGGTGGGGTGGGGGGGGAGTGTGTGTTGCGGGATGGGGTGGCATGTCAGCGTGTGTCACCTGTGCAGAGTGCCGCAGGGCTGCGGGCGTTTGCGGGGTGCCACGTATGTGTGCTGCAGGAGGGTGCGTGGATTTTCGGGTTGCTCTGATCTCTTTAAAGCTTTCTCCCCATTTCCCCTGATCTCGAAGCAGGGCTGGAGCCCCTTCCCCAAGCCGTTGTTGCTCTTTGGGGTCTGCATGGGGTTGCAGGACCTTGGGACACCGCATTCTCCCTCCTGCGAGGATCTGCAGCCCCTGCACCCATCCTGGGCATCTCCTGCACCCCAGCTCCAGCCTGGCCGTGTGGCCTCAGAGGGGGGGTGAAAGCAGCAGCCCCGCGGTCTCACCCCGACCCCACGGGGTGCACCAAGGGGTGGCTGGCTCTCGAGGTGGGGGTGTGGGGGCAAGCTCCGGGGGTTGGCACGTAGCCCCCTCCCTACCACCCTCCTGCAGAGGTTTTTAAACCCATTTTCAAGCTTTGCTCGCACCTTGACACGCGCTTGAAGGCACCACGGGCATCGCTGGGCTGGGAAACAGCCAAAACTCCTCCAGCCGTCCCCGCTGATGGGTTTTACACCCCTCTCCCACCAGGCAGAAGGGTGATTTTGGGGGCGGGGGGCGGGGGATGCTCGGTCCCAAACACAGCAGCATCCTGAGGAACCTCACCCAAGCACAGGCGGGTGCCCAGCACCGGTTACAACCCCCAGCAAAGCCACCCACCAACCGGTGCCACGCGCTCCGTGTCGTCCCCGAGTAGCGATCAGCTAGATGGTTGCAGATAACCGGGTTTCTGCAAACAAGCAGAAAACCGCAACAGGCCGATCAATGCGGCATCGCCAAAGTACCCCTCGCTCCTTCCTCCTCAATTATTGATGCTAATACCTGGCAGGTTTGCCAGCGCGCCGCTGCAGCCTGTTCCGCGCAAAGTCCCGACATCTTGGTAACATGATAACTCCAGCCCTGGGATATTAAAT